GCGGTCAGCCCGAAAAAAGTCGCAAACGGAGCCTCCGAAGTTCCCCAATTCCCACAACGCACCAGTTGTAAGTATTTGAAGGCAGCACCACAATGGGTTTCTTAAGCGATTTCAATGAAGACACAACACCACAATAGGATTATATATGAAAACACAGCAAGCTATCAATCAAATACATGTCCGATTCTTGTTTGTGCAGAACTTGAGTTCAAATGCCGTTGGCGATAATTTTCGACTGCAGCATTCCCAGAATCGTTCAGATGTGGATGTGCTAACGCATAACCGTGAAATCTGGAACTGTTTTGCATTTTATTCGTGTTTCTTTTCTCGTGATTCAGAGCGTAAAAATTCATGGACAACTTAATATGCACTACAGTAGTGCTGCTAAATCAACATTGATTTCGGTTCGAAAGCAAGAAAGTACTATCCTTTAAAACGTATCTACCAAATACATCAGGTGAAACTGAATTCCTAGCCTCTAAATTCTCTGTCAGAACCAAAAACGACAGCAGTTGAAACATCAAAATTTTAACTGCATCACGGATTCCATTTCTGGTTCGTTGGATATAATGAAATGAAACTTAAGTGAATTGATGCAGAATATAAAACCAAGAGATAAAAATGCCACAGAAGTGGATTCAAGGTTAGCATAGAACAATAACAGTCGCTACCCCGATTCAATGTGATATGGCTGTCCGTAAAACCGCTTCGATGTTTGATAAAAATACGGATTCTCATCTGTTGACCAATACACGGACTGCTCTTCCATCAGCTGCATTAATGGTTGCTTCAATTGGCATTTAGTTTAATAATTATTCAAAAGATGAAAATTATCCACATCATTTCAGTCCGCTGTTTCTCCAGCAAAAATTTATTGCAATAATTCAAATGAACAGCAAGACAAGAAGAACTGAAAAAGCGGTAGAGTATGAGATAGCAATATTCGAAGCAGAGGTGGAAAGGCTGTTTTCTGGGAAAGAATTCGGAAACAAAATCCCCCGATTGTCATCAACCACTGCTTGTTAGATGAATTGCAACGATTCAATCGTTCTGTATGGCAATATTCTAGTTTTGCAGAATTGTGCTTTCCAAGAGTCAAAATTAAGCAAAAGTCCAAGAATCGATTAAAAAAAGTTTCATAAAACATTCACTGTATTCCTCCATTAATTATGAACAGTAAAAAAACCGACTTGTCGAGGAATAGTACTTGCTGTAGCGTATGTCCGTTGCACGTCGTAAGTATCATCAACCGGCGCTACCAACGCTAAACTACTACCCGTTGCTCGATGATGCAGTATATTTGTTGCTCTACAAATTTTATTTTTTATCCGATGAGACATCAATTCGAGCGCTCCAAAATGATTTGTCAATAGGAATGACTATTTTTCTGCCAAGAAAACCGTGAACTTCGGTTTTACTGAAAGGTTTTCTTAGACTTTCACATCTCAGAATTTCATTGAGAATAAGTTTTGTTGATCTCAACCAGGAGCTGACGGTTTCATTAGGAATAACTATGACTCTTATTGGTACCTCATCAAACAACTAAATTTGTATGATGAAAATGCGATTGAATCTAGTGAATGATAATCATAATAATGCGTGAGAGAGTGCAACCTCAAGCAGGCGATTACAGCACAGAATGTACAAAGTGCACATGCAATTGTACAAGCACCACTCAGAATGATCGAAACAATTAGAATCGTTTCGTGATAGGGCCCCTGATATCCTGCATACGATGACGAGAACATTGTTGCCTTAAACATTACGATCATGAAATATCTTCAATATATTCAACCAGCTCATGACAATACAATTTTATACGAGAACCGAACAAAGATTGAATTACAAAACATTCGGTTCGAATATACTAATGCTATTACAAATTGAGCAGTTTTAACCCTCGCACGACGAACGGGCATAAGAGGGCAGGCGACAACTTCTAGTCTTCAATAATTCCATAATAAATACAGATAAGATCTGAGATTTTGTGACTTTACTCATTTCCCTGACCTCAGCGGGAAAAAAATTTCTTTCCGGATCATATGTGCCACTCAAATCGTTTTATAACATCGGAGACGAACCAGGCTTTGCGCCAGTGTTAAGGCGTTTATAAGCCTGTAGAACGATAATAGCTGTTGATTTATAGGAATTCTGATTTGTCTCAACGTTTCAAAAGATACAGCAGAACAATGAACTACGTCAAAACAAACAAACTAGGTGACTTTCGCGGCACGAATTGCAAAACTAAAGTTTATTGCTATGAAAAACAGGAAAACGACACTGAAAATCAAAACGAGAAAATTGCGAGCGGATGAAATAGCAAACAGCACAATTCTTGACGTTTCAAGCTACTATTGCATTCCGAACAGAGAAAAATGATTTCGGTTTCCTTACTTTGATAAGTGGAAAATAGGAATGAAAAAAGACAAACAAAATGTAAAAAAAAAAACAAAATCCTAGAGATGAAGAGAATTAGAAAATCTATAACAAATTTATCATTCAAAAATTCCAATACCACATCATTTGAATGTCTGAAACGAGTTATGGGAATCGTGATGTGCATTTTAGATTGAGTCCATGCTCGTTACAAACATTCTTTTAACAGCTAAAACATTTTGTCTTCGATTTCGTATCATAGCTGGATGGACATATGAATCTGTTAGCGAATTTGTCACTTTTCATCCGCAGGTGAAGTTACTGAGGAAATCTTAGTCAGTTAATTATCTCTACATTTATTTACCTCAGACTGGTACAGTGCAGACTGCATTAGTGAGAAAATGAACGAATACGTGAAAGGAATAATTAGGGAGTGAACCCTTTAGAACGGTTCGCTGAAAATGGAGCAACGGAAGCTTCATTTCCACAGCTATGACTAATTTTTGTGTTGGAAGAAAGTTCCCGTCGATGTGCCAGACGGAGACCCGATACCCTAACAATTTCGCTTCCCGACCTTTCGGCCGGGTCACCCCAGACGGATGACTCCCCACGAGGATCATCCTCGGGCAGTTTTCTCCCCGGCGGAGTTCCTCTCTACTCTACCCCCTCCCCCGGCTAAAAAGCTGCTCTCCGACGAACGCTAGTTATGATAGCGACTCCCNCGAAATCTATAATTAAAGGCCCCACTCCATGGTGCCGCATTGCGAATTGCAAAACCTGTCCATCCAATTTTTTCCTCGATCAGCTAAAGTGCTCCTCTCCGACCGCACGGTGAATTCATGATTTGTGCGAAACACATTTTTCCTTCGAACCTCCTCAGATATTCAATCGAACTGATAAAGACTGGGAACTTACCAGTGAAATTACCCACCTTCAAAGCCAAGGATTGCATTGAAAACCGAAAACTATTAAATTCAAGTGCATTCACAGAAACTCATCTGCTTGGGTCGATAACAAGGAAAGCAACATCGACTATGAATGAACTGGTCCGTCAGTCTCAATATACTGTCAATCCTCTCTACGAATTGATCAATAAGTTCTGTGACTTGGTCAATATGGTGTCAATTTCGTCGCGCATTTGAATTTAAACTCATTGATAAGTTGGATGATGGATGTTTTAACAAAGGAATATATGTGAAAGAGGTACGATAGTGTCAAAAATACTTCCTAATAATCTAACCAAATAATAGGTATTCGTCATGGCGTAACTGATAGCAAAAAGTGCCAGCGCTCCGACGATTGTCTGAAGAATGGCTGCAGCAAGAAGAAGTCGACGGAAGCAAAGGCAACATAACTGCAACAAATGATTACTTTTAGCACATCCGTCAACCATCTGCATTAGTTGAGAATTCGAAGATAGATTCCGCCAAAATTGCTGTTGTAGCTAATCAGACAACTAAATGCATCACATGTAATAACCCTAGCATATACTGTAGCGATTTTAAAATGTTTTCGCATCATCGCCCATTTTCGGGTTTCTGTCTCTTCACTATTCCCCACTTCCAGTGTTTCACTTCCCAACGACCCCTACATACAAAGGCGATTGCTCAAAGCGATCCATGATCTGCATTACATACAAAAAAATTGCTCAGTGGTGGACCCTTTTCGCAATGTGCTGTTGCAGAAAGTTTGCAGCTCTGTCATCTACATACAGAAGCGATACGGTTAACAGTGCGATTAGTCATTTCTCTGCACTAAATTAACACTTCATTTTTTCGCCCGACATTTGTTTACACTNCAATTCTCCCAAACTCAAAACTTCATCCATATCACCGTCACGGGAGCCGTGCAGTTCACGTCGATGTAAATTATCGGCTAGAAAATGAATAGTTGCCCCACAACAACATTTAAATTGTTATACGCATATTTACCTGTACGATAAAAACAGCAATTGCAACAGGGCCATTACCAAGTCTATAAAAGTAAATGCCAGCTGGAACCTCCGAATAACGCCATTTACCGAGTTCAAACAGCACGTAAACACCAATAAAAATAATACCGTAGAAAAGAACACCGAATGAAAATAGCGAGCTTATCACTGAAAAAGCTTTGAATTATCGGCATTATGACAATCAATAAAACGAATGATGTTAATCACGGTTAAATAAATGCTGATGATTAGGTAATTTTGATCATGGCATCCCAAGAGAGGCACGTAATAAACAAACAAATATTCCTTGATATGGACTGACTGAAGAATAACTAACAGAACGGGGAAAATCGAAACAACTTCAAAAAATGCTTTTCACACGCTGACAAACTGGGAACTGTCATCACTTCTAGTCGATACTGGCCNACTATTCTCAAAGATATAATGGTAATCCGCTCCAAACAAACCAGATGAATTCTTAGCGTTTTGCGAATATTGGAGCGCTATTATTCGGCCGAAGATGATTGAAGTGGCCAACGAAGTAATCGCTTCAGCGGTAAGAATCTGGAAGAGATATCTTGATAAACATGTTACTTATTCGTCTTATCCTCATCAAATTTGGGAAGGATTCGGATGTCCAAAAACAATGCATTCCCGCTGGAGGCTGCTGACTGTCAAGGTTAAATAAATGATGATGGAGACTGTCTTAACAATCTTTTTCAGCAAGGCGTAACAGAGGAGAATCCTAATTTACAAAAATTAAATCTCATCTATTGCTCCACACTAGATGACTCGAAAATGAAAACATAGTTGGGAACAACTACGATTCAGTCGTTTTCGTTCAATATCTCCGTAGATTTTCCGAAAAATGTGAGCCGCTGAGAAAAGTCATTGCATGATCTAAATATGAATCTATATCGCTGGTATTGACGCAATCATACTTATCACTATACAGAAAGTCGTACATTCCCTTAACATAAAATCCCTTCAATAATTACTCAAAAGAATTGAGCGGGAGGAAATTAGCGATAAGGTTCAAAAAAAAAAGAGATGCGATGAACATTTTACAGATATTAAACGAACCCCAAGTTGAACAGCATATAGAACGATTTGGCCAACGTATATTTGTTGGGCACCGTTAGCATAAGAAGGGTAAGTGGCTGCTTGATAGACGTCGTTTATGCTAACGCACATCTTTTCCACCGCAACCGCTAAACTCACAACCGATAGAACGAAACGCGTTGTTGCCATCACGCTGAAAGAATTACATTTGCACATACAGTGCTTGTCACTGCGCATGAATGCATTTCCATTGACTCGTGCACTAACTTGAGATTCGTTGATCCAAGAGCACCCGTACTGAAGAAGAGCACAGCCATCCACAGCAAATCGCCACCTATATATGCACCGTTCCAGGGAAGATCAAGAAGACCAAGAACAACGAGAGTCATTAAGCATACAGCCCAGAAAACATGCAGTAATCCGAAACACCTGAGTGATTCAGATTTCATTCATTGTTTCACTAGAGGTTGATTCACGATTCTCTACCATTCACGCGTTTTTGATAACACCAAAAATGCAACTCTATCAGGTTGAGAAAAAATTAGTTTTTCATTTGTAATCAGGCTCATTGCATTTATATTCAAGTGAAATCGCATACGAATGAGAAGCACCGCAGTGAACTGTACAGAAAAGCTCATTATTGGCAAGTCATTGTTGCAATGCATTGAAATCGCTAGCATCATTAGAAATGCTCAGAATTGAAAAAGTTCAAATGCGAAACAATCAATAGCAATTCATCAGTTGGACAGAATCAATAACCTGCTCTGCATAATAAGTCCCTGGCTAACTTTCATATTCATTGACACATAATTAGATAACACACAGCGTGATGCTTGAATTGCAGTAAGAACACAGAGAAGGTATAACAGGCAAAAGCAACCAAGTAATACCCCTTCAGACACGGCTATTATATAGTGTGGACCAGAACTTGGTGTGAGAAGTTGATCTGAAAGGAACACAGTAAGCTCGATCGGTCTGCATTCCATTACCGACGAACAATTTCCAGCTTATTGATTAAAATTTATTGCTTGAATAAGTGAACAGCTCATGAAAATAGCCNTGATTAAAGCTAACGTTAACCTTTGTCTTGACCAGTCACCTTGAAAAACTTCAGATCGTTGTAATAAAATGGGTTCATACCAACATCCACTGCTTTCAAGCACCAAACTGCTGCTATTATTGAAAGAGCGACCGCAACCTGATATTCATCAACTTCAGTAGATTTGAATTAGGACAATAAAACTGATGAGATTCCTGGACTTGAAACAAGTAAATATATGAATCGAGAAGGTTCAAAAAGTATTTTGATGAAACAAGTCGCAATAACTTCTGAAAAATACCTTGGAATTAAGCGTAGCTTGTTGTTTGGATGCCACCGAATATACATCAACAACTGCACTTGCCACCGCTAGCATCGCACTTATTTCCGCAGTTGCAACTCGAATATAATTACCAACACCACCGAACTGAAAAAACATGACTACGATTATTGAATGGGATAAATAATTACACAATTTCAGAGAAAATTTGCTTGGCGATGAGGTATACATGGTTCTCTGATTGTGACGGCTGAAGGATCATGCTTACTGAAGAAAATGTCAGTTTTCCAATGATAAAATGGAGGTTACAACAAATATCGTCGCAATGTTCGACTCTTAACACCGCGAATTCCCTCGAAAGAATCTGACGCAATGTCGATGGTTAAGACATCAGGAGTAATAATGTCTCTGTTCCAACCAAACTGCTCTATTCCATTTCTGTTCCCAGGAATAGAACGGAACAATTTCATATAGAAGCCGCGCGGAACAGAACAGAACGATAGGGCTGAAGAGAGTAACAGGACGAAACAGAAGAACGCAAAAGGAATTCATTTTTGGAGCAGTATTAATCGCGTCTAAACGATCACTTATCTTACCCTCTCCCTTTCGTATTCTACGAAAACCGCCAATCCGAGAGTTCCCAATGCCAGCAGAAGTTTGACCGTTGAAAGTGAATTCAGCTGCAATCGACTACTACGAACAATTCTTTCCTGTTGCTCCTATAAATATGAAATTCAGTTTTGAATCATAACCCATTCAAACAAAATGACAAATAAATAAAAACTATCCTTGCCTCGTTCTCATTACCACCATTCTTTTGAACAAAGTAAATGAGAACATCTTCTTCGAATGGATTTTTATCAATTGGGTCTCTCAACAGCTGTGCAGTTGTTGCAGTATTTTTTGAATCTTGAGAAGTGCGACATCAATACTTGGAATGCGTCAACAAAAGGCGCGCGTGCGATTTCACATAGCAATTGCCTTTTTCAAGCTTCCAAGTCAGAAGCAGCAATAATTTTTTGGAATGCTTAAGAGGAAAGTTTTAATGCTAATTCGTTGACGTTTCTAATTTGAAAACTAAGTTACAGTGGGTAATGATAATGTTGAACGATACTGATAATGACACCGATACTAACCGACATCAACGAATGAAAACAATTTATATTGAGTTATGAAATGCTCACCGATTGAACAGACCACATCGGTTGTGTGATGCAGACTATCGAATCGAGTAAAACTGCAGCGATCATTGAGATGAGAGCAGCTAACGCCGGAATCGCTATCATGATAGCACTGATCACAATCTTCCCAACATAGGTCGACGCGTCACCCCCATAAAGTGCATACATTGCTTGTGTATTGTTCAGTTGTTTAACCGCTTTGTATGCTTCAACTACCTTCAATGTTGCACTTTAACTTGATTTTTCACCACTTGCCTCCATCAAGCTATATTTTATTTATTTTCCGATGAATCGAAGTAAGAAGATGAATGAGTGAGATTATCAAGCTCAATTTCCTCAAGTAAAGAAACTAAACATTGTTTTCTTAATTTCTAGTCAAAACGGTTTCTGACTGAAGCAACCGTCAATCAAATCATTACTCGAAAGTATAAATACCAAATATTGATGTGACCTATTACCCTATAAGTTGTGAATCCATAGAAAATAGCTGTCGCAATGCCAATGACAATGCTGACGCAATAGAGAGTTTTTGCGATCACACCACCGTAATTTCTCGGCAGACAATACATACCAATTAGTCCAGCAAGAACATAAATCCAATTCAGTATTCTCAGGTCGATATTCCTGGAAACAATGTTGTAATCGCATGCAATGAATTTCATTGACTGTTTGTAAAGATAGGCAGAACTTGGTTCTTACTGACGAACTTCACATTCATTTATACATTTCCACTCACTGATGTTTTTCTTTACTATTCTACCTTACAATTGGGGTTAATCGACAGACTAATCAAAGTGCACTTTTATCTATTTGGAAGGGAACCAATGTACCGATGACCCCGTATAGTAACCAATCTTTTAGTTTTAACGCTTCCGAGCGTTGTTTATTATCTAACAAGTTCACTCCAGATTTACACAAAAGAACAGAAATGCAGCTCAACTACGCGCATAAATGTGAAATTAAAATGATGAAAGGAATGGCTAATGAAGAATATGAAATCAATAAAGTGAGCAGTCGTTTTCCGCTGCCAATTGATTGACATTCACCTGTAATTCTGTATGGCAACGACGCTGGAAAATTGACTTCCAGCTAGACCAATTGCTGCCAATCCGAGAAAGATTAGAAATACATTGCAACCCTGAAATCACTCGACATCATTGACTTCTTTATCAGCAACACACCACCAAACAATGCTTATACATTGTTCATTACGGCAGCATCCAATACCGAGTTTCTCCAATGCAATTGAGCCGCATATTTTATCAGAAGCAGTGTATATGTCCAGCTCATGTCAATACCTTAATGTGCGATACGCCATCTTTTGAAGTACTGCATCATCGACAGTCTAAGATCACTTCGAACTGCGTTTGCAAACAATCACAATTAACTTCAGTGCCAGCAGAGATAATTCAGTAAGATGATGCGCTCGATTGATCAAAGTTATTCAGGTAAAGTGGATCTTTCAACGATCTCATTAACTAATCGAGCACTTCAACAGCAGCAGATTTCTTAGTAAAATTTTGCATGCGAAAGAGTGAAAAAGCAACCCAAATAACAAAAACATGCAAAACTGTTATGTTGAGCTTATTGTTTGATCGGTCGATCGAATTTGAAGTAAGAGTTCTTTGTGTTATCCACCAAAGCGCGGTATTCCAATTGCTTTTTATTGGAATTCCACTTTTTCCGATCACAATCGCACAATATTTTAGTAACATATCAAACTGCTCGGAATAAATTCGAACCTCAATAATGGTTCCGTATCTCTGCTTTGGTTCAGCAAGAACTCAGTTGAAGAAAATATCATGTTTCAAACCCCACAAAAACCGAATCAATAAAGATACTAAGTAAGTGTTCGATAGAGACTGAAGCGAGTCATATTCATAACAAAAAAACTTGACGATATTCATTCATAAGGACTCATCTTTGAAAACAAAAACCAGAAAAGGATTTTGCACAGAAAAGAAGAAAAATGAACCTGAATTTGGCATGTATAAGCACCTCTTCCAGCCATTTTGTTTGCTGAATGATCACTTTTTTGAGTTTGCTTCAAGAGTTACAGTGACTTGATGTTGTTCACAACCAAACATCCAAATACATAAATATCACAACTCCTTCAACACCCGCTCGACAACACTCACTGCCTTCTGCAATGCAAACATCTGCCGAAAACATTTTCTCAGCAATCATCAGTTTCGTATAAACAAATAACGTCCGCTTTCATTCACTTCATCGAACACGAACCAAATAAATATGACGATAGCGGTATTAACAATTGTAATACATACGTTATCACCTAATCAAACAAAGCATCTTCGCGTCTGACATTCTTTACCTATATGGAATAACATGCACCAAAAGCATATTCATTTCACTATTCAAAATTCTAATTCCGGACCATTCCCCTGACTAACAAACCAAAATTCATTTCGCCATTTTGGATGCCATATTTCAATGCAGTTAGAAGATCACCTCGTTAGTTGGTATCAAGATAAAATGATACTGACACCAATAATGATTGAACCATGAAAAACAGTGATAATCATGTGCATTGCGGTTTTGCTGATATTATATCTCAACCTTAATATCAGCATCCAACTGAACTTCATCAAAAACTTCGAGAACGGTAATTATTCACATATTGAAAACATGAAACATTTCGAACTGTTTGCTGGATACCATTCAGTGATACAGTGTTACATTACGCTCTCTCTTCTAATAGCAATTATTCCTTCACCAACATTCACGCAATTTCCGAAAAACATCACTACATCTTTCCACTGTGATCAGTAAGAAAATAGGAATATTTGAAATGGAAACAGACTAACAATGCGTTGTTTTATGAATAATGAAAACATTCTAATGATTCATCAATGGAAGTCTTTTGCAATACATTTCGAATGAATTTCAACTTTCAAGTTTTCAAAACTGCGAGAAATGAACTCTGATATTGGTTGAATATATTCGTAATAAAGGAAATATTTTTTTGNCAATCAATTCTACCCAACTGACAGTGACGAATCGGCCAAATGTAAATTTGTGAAAATCGTTACTTTTAGAGGGTGTCATTTTTGCCTCCATTAACTCATCAGCAGACAACATATCATCATGACGACGTATTATTACGCAATAAAGTTATTATAGAAAAATTCATGTGAACATTACAGTCAATGTTTGATCATAGATGCGAATGAGCACGTGTTAAAGAGGATGAATTATTCATAACCAGATTAAATGACGGCTGAAAAGAATCAACGAGAATACTCCAAAAATTACGTATGATAATTCGTGCAGTTGCTGATTGTGCAATCCTCGGTATTACAGCAAAACTCATTTACATGTGAATCATGAATGCCAGCATTTTCAGCATCTTATTCATGAATTTCGTCTGAAAATTTTATCGTGCATCATAAAAGTCATTATGTCATTAGCAAAAACACACGACGATAATGACTAATCAGTCTCACAAAATTGTTAACGATAATGAGAATAGCCATTCACCAAATGGATTGCATCAAACGAATGAGTATCAGCATGTCAAAATTACGGCAGAATGAATATCAAGAATGGAATTATGCAATGGACAACTATAAAGCCATGCAATTGATTGTGTGAGTGAATGTTGTGCATTGTGTGACTGGGCAATGAACGCATACATATAGCATAAATTGTGAAAACGTAAATATTTTTGAAATGTGTTGTTGTATTNTATTACCTGTAGCACTGCAGAGTCGAGATTATACAATATTTGCGATGTGCTATTGGGTGAGTGAAGGCTTATTGAATTTTCAAACTAGTTCATGGTTTGTTGATTTGACGATGATATTCGATATACTACACAATGGCATACCAACGCATCGATATAGCTAATCACTCTAATATCATGAATTCGTCACCAGTAAAGAAAACAGAATCGAATCTCAACCGTGAAATAGTGACGCTCTGCTGACTATAATCTGATTAACAATTCCAGTTGCAGAAAATCGTTTCAACAAACGATGAGGAACTTTCATTGAATGATGAATTTTTTGCAAAGTGAATAATGAACAACTGGATTCGTTCACTTTGCAATTCCTTTGAGAAGTATAGAACAGAAAATTTTGGAGGCTGAGTGTAGGCGCCCTATGAGATTGGCACAAAAAAAATTTCATCAGAACGCTTTACCTGACAATCACCTGACATCCTATTAATTACCGAATTTTCCAATTATGAAAAGGGAAATCCGCAAACTTCCTTCATGGTTTTCACAATGTGATCTCACTAGATATGCCCTCGAATGAAATAACAGACTGACGCTGTGCTCGGTTGCTGGAGAGAATCCACGAAGTTAACAATTCAGTTCTGATCGTAAACCATCGGCTAAGAAAGCATTGAAAACAGCAGCATAGCAAGGCCTTAGGAAGAGGGCATACCCTTTTAATCAACCTTGAAGTTGACAGATGGCATACATTCAGAAAGAACAGAATGACAATACAGGGTGCCTTTCCCTCTGGAAAACACATTTCTGTCACTAGCCACAAGAGAGACAATGTATTGAAGGTAGATCACAATAAGATGAAATGAATTCACGAGTCTGAACGACAGGACGGAATGGAAGAATGATTCAATTGCTTTGCTGTATCTTTTGTGTTGGATGGCAATTCATTTGGAATTTGATCATGAAGCAATGGCTCAACAAACAAAAGATGTAGCGAACAAAAAGTCACCAGAAATATTTTAGTTTCTGAAATATTTTCAAACTCAACTACGATTGTGAAAATTTATTGTCTGGTCCCTTACTTGTAGACCAATAATGCGAAAAAATTCTTTGCCAGGCAAATGCATAATTGTGATGTAACAAAAATATCAAACTTTTTGTATGAAGATGGAATTGACTGGATTGAGCATAATAACATGAACCAAGAGCAACAACGAAATCGGAAGTGGCTACCAGATACTCCGAATGGACAAACGATTCAAGCATTCGTGTAAAAAATTGCTCGCAAAATGAATGATTCTTGTGTACAATGCGTTGAACTATAACAGTTAGCGTGAAAATTGAGAATATTTAAAAATATTGAATTAACTAAACCGAACTATACTGCACGAAACCGACGAGAATATTTGAACGGTGCCTTACAACTGTGCGGAAATGTGCAACATTAGTCACCAAGTAATGCTAGTCTTACGGATCTACTTTAAGCATATAGACCTTCAGTTAGTTTTGTTTGTACAACACAAGCACACAAATATTATAATCGTCATCGTCATATGTTTACCCAATTTGCAATCAACCACGTTCTACATCTTTGAAGTGGTTTTAGAGTTACTCGAATGCTCTAAGAGTCAACGATTTTGTACAAAGATGCGCTGAATTCGATTGCTGTAACTTACATTAGCACATCGATTGTATGGAATTTCTTCAAGAAAGATTCATGAACAACTGATTTTCATGTGATGCATTGATGAATGAATCAGTGGTGAAAGTCTGGATTCTAAACTGCAGTATAAACGGAGTGGTGGGCAATATTCGCTGCATCATTCGTCGTCGGAACCGGTTTCATCTTTACAATATTGGAGGCTTGACGATGTGGCTCTTTCCTTGGCCATCACTTGGTTATTGTTGCAATCATAACTTTTTAATATGCGGATTGCATTTGAATGAAATTTATATTTACAATGAATT